GAGCAAAGTGGTTTCTTGAGATGAAAGCTCCTGGTGAGGATGCCGTGAAGACTGCTGAAGTGATGACACAGGACTGAGAATATGACGCAGACTTTGTCGATGAAGCGCGGCAGGGTTTGAGAGGACGGACTCCAGTGTTGAAGGAAGTTCTCGGGGTAAAATGCTGTCGAGCAGCATCGCGTGCTGCAGAGAAACTTCATGAAAAAGCCAGGGCAGCAGACTTCATTGTCTTAAGGAATTGCCACAGCCACCCCAGCCGTCAGCAGCCACCAACGCGGAGGCAAGACCCTCCACCAGCAAAGGCGCTATGACTCGCTGAAGGCTCAGGTGATGGTCAGCATTTTTTAGAAATGAAGTGCTTTTAGTTAGGGTAGGTACGTTGTTTTTACAGACATAATCCTACTGCACATTTAACAGACTACAGTTTGGTGTAACGTAGTATTTTAATGTACTGGGAAACCAACATCTTTGTATGACTCCCAAACTGTAACATTCACTTTATTAAGGTGATCTGGAACCAAACTCGGTATATCTCCAAGTATGCCTGTACTATTTCTTTAATCTTATGATTTAAAAAATGGAAGTGTATCAACAAATGTCTGTTTCCTATTAAGTATATATCTGTTTTTAAAGTATGTATTTGCACAGTGGTAGAAGAAAAGTAAATTTAGAAAACTCCGAATAAGCCAACTAATTTAAGAAAAAGGAACTGTACCCAAAACAGGAAGAACTGGTGAATACCCACGGTCACACACAAAACCAAGACCTCTGAAAGGGTCCAAGACTTAAATCAACACTAACAAAGCAGAGAAGGGCTCGAAGTAAGCTGCGAAGGTAGGAGACAGATTGACTTCCTGAGGAGGAAATTTGGCTCCCCAACCCCTCCCCGGGGCTGAGGCCTCTACACCAGCACTGACCAGAACGCTCCGCAACGGCCTTGTAGCCCGGCCCTGCAGTGCCCAGCGTGATGGCTATCAGCCACACACCACTGCTGAGCACTTGACATGAAGCTAATGTGACCACGAAACCGAATTTCAATTAAATGTAAATAGCCACATGTGGCCAATGACTAGCTGACTAGACAGAACAGGCTTAGAGAATAAGAGGATACTTTTTTGCAGGAAAGGCACCAGGCTGCCGTACAGTAAAATCTATATGTTATTCGCACACAAGAAAGCAGAATCCCAATAAGCAAGGTTGTTCTATGTGAAAATAGCCGAGTCCTGAGCTGCGAGAAGGAGGGGGAGGTGAGAATCAATCTTGGAATCCCGGGTGGTCTGAGGAGGCTGGTTTTCTCCTTTTGGGTCTGGTAAGAGTTTCATAACATAGCAAGGTATCAAAGAAAGTATTTCACTACTCTTAGAAGACTCGAACAATAAAAACGAAATGACAAACCCATTGTGCAGATATTTTAGAATAGATTATGGTTTTAAATTTAGTAACAAGTTTTCCAATAGCTGGATTTGGTTTTAACTATTGTTTAAAGTTTTTGAAGTGTTCACAAAAAAGCATGCTATATTTATGTTTTTATAACAATCTATAATCTATATTGTAGATTTTTTGAAAGAAATTCAATTAAGTTTAATGTCAATTTTTAATCTTTTTATCAAGCAGGCAAAAAGCAAAAAACACTCCAATAATTGCTAGCAGAATTAAAAACTGGCACATGAAGAGATAATCTGGCACTATCTGCCAAGGTACAAACCACCCCGCTTATAACCCATCAACTTCGTCACTTGCAGGGATTTCCTCTACAGCGTACGTGAGTCTGTAAGCTACACGGGGCAAGGACAAATTGTGTTCACTCCTGCATGCCTGGCTCGTGCCGGCTACGTCGCAAGTGCTCAGTAACCGGGCGAAGGACGAGGCAGAACAATGACTGTGACATGATGAATGGACATGGTTATTCAGGGTAGGAAAAGGACGGAAGCAACATAACTGTTCAGTCAAGTAAATTATGAAGAATTAGGTGCCAGAGCGAGGGCGACAGGGAGAGGTTTCACTGCACTTTTTTTTTTTTTTGAAATAAAAATTTTAATAGATTGTTAAAATTTAACATATTAGATTTAATAAGCCGAGCATTAACCAAAACATGGCCTGTGTTTCTCTCCACCAAAAAAAAAAAAAAGAGAGAGAATTAAAGATCCTACTCAACATGGCATGCAGATGAGATAGTGCAAAGATGGTGAACTACACGGGAAAGGAAGGAACTGAAAAATACCGGTCCCCTCAACATGGAAGTGGAATGTGAGTTTGCATTTGATGTGAAAAGCAATGGATAATCATTGAAAACATTTTTTTTGGTAAGCTAAAATTTTACTGTTGATGATGTACAATATATCCATTTTTTCTTTTATACTTAGCTCTTTGTCTTCTCTTAGGAATCTCTGCATATGCCAATGCCATGAATATATTCACCTACGTTTTTTCTAGTTTTAGCTAGAAATACATTCGTTCTTTTTCAGTACATTCCTTTGATCATGTCCATTTCTAATTTTGAAATGAACAGGACTAATAATTTGGCCTATCAGTTTTTAAGTTTTAGAATTAACACCTAGTTAGTATATGGGCCTTAAATTATTATAAATGAACAAAACTAACAGTATTTGTCGTTTCGTGGGTCAAACCCATTAACAACACATTACACTGGTGAATTCTCAACTCTCAGCCTGTTCATTCGTTCATATCATTATTATGATTTTTTTTTCCTTGGAGGCCTTTACTAAGAAAATAACAAAATTTACCCTTTAGAAATCGGACTACAAAAGATGCTCCTGATGCTCCTGACGTGGTATCTCAGCCAGATGATCTGCTGAGTCAATTTCTCTTTGACACAACAAATAACTGAGGTTCTTATAAGACGGTCGTCTTTACTAACGTACACAAGCAGAATGTAAAGAACCGGCATACCTGTATTTCTTCACGTTCCTTTTTATCTGGAAAAGTTCTTGCAACTGTAGTATACTTTTCAAAAACTTTGCGTTCCTTTTGTAACTTCCTCATTTCCTCCTTTTTAAACTCTTCTATTCGAGCCAATTCTTTTGCTTTCTGTTGTTCAAAGTCTGCAATTTCTTTCCTAAAATGACCAAACCATGTTATCATCTAAGGGGACCATCTCATTACAATAATCCACACGTTGTACTGAAATGGAACGCCAGTGACAGCCTGAAATTGAGGAGCCAGTAGTCTTGGTGACTCCATCTTCAGTCCGTAGCACTGGAATGAGTCAACTCAAAGCACTCCTCCAGCAAGCACCCAGGGGCACCCATGGATCAAGTACTATACACTAAGGGCTGGAGGAACCACAGAGAATAAAATATACATGCTTGCTCCCAGGAAGATTCTTACATTCTAGTGGGACAGACAGGCAATAATAAGATAAATAAGTAAAGTGAACGGAACATTAGAAGTGCTAAAGAGAAACAGAGCAAAAAATGAGGTTAGGAAATATCAGGACAGGATATTACAGCTACAGATGGGGTCACCTTGCTGAGATATTGGAAGCAAAGCCCGAAGAAAGTGAGAAAACAGCATACGGATATTTGGACAAAAGAGTTCAGGCAGAGGGAACACCTCATACCAAACCCCGAAGTGTTCGAAGAACAACCTGGAGACCAGTGTGGCTGAAACAGCGAGCACCAGAAACGATAGGAGGTAATGTAAAAACAAAAGAAATGGGGCCAGATTAACTGGGGCCTTACAGACTTTAGTATTTAGTGTAGGAGAATGTTGATCAGAGGGGCCTCACAACCCAGCTTCATCCTGGATGCCGTGTTCAGAGCAGAGAGCTAGCGACATCAGCAAGATGGTGGACTAGAGGTGCTGGCTCACATCCCCCCACATAAACAATAATCCATCTACAGACAAAAGTGTTTTTGTGGAAGCTCTAGAACCCAAGTAGGAGGAAGAGAAACCCCCATGAGGCTCAAGATTGAAGACAGCCACTGAAGAGGCAGGCTTCTTTAAGGAACTGGTGCATGCCCACGTCGTTACGGAGCCGTAGGACACTAGCACGCTTGCCAGGGCCGCACTGGTACCCTAACTCCAGACTGTCTTTCGAATTTCAATCATCACCTCATCACTAAGAGTCCCCTTTCAACAGATCTCTGACCGCGTGGGTTATTTTAATTAATTAAAAAATACATACGTGGTACAGATTTCACTTCCTTTCCATTTATATTGTAGAATTTATAAAAATTGTTTCAAATATTTTAGATATAATCTTAAAGATATGACTGAATCACTACACTTCTCCCCAACTTACTGATGCAAACTTACCTGAGTTTTTCCAAGGCACTTTCTCGTTCAATGCGAAGTTTACCTAAAGATGTGTTCTCAGCTTTAAATTTTTCTATTTCCATTTCCAATTCAATAACTTTCTCTCTCAAAACTTGAGATCGAACACTGTCACCTACAAAATAGGCCATAAATATTGAACTTGACAAAAGGCCTTCAACAGCAAACACACTAGCTATGAACACTAAGAGCCAAAAATATGGTAAATCCCTACTAAAATGCATAGAAACAATGCTTCCAAAAACAAATTTAAAGAAAAATTTTTAATTTTATTGGCTTAATTTTCCAGATGAAACCAATCTAAATGTAGGAAAAAATCAAATTATTCTATCTTATAAGAATACCAATCTCATAATAAATTAATATTATATATTTAAAAAGAACCATTCAAATAAAATTTTTAAAAAGCCAATATATAAAAATAGCTTAAGAACATGAGTAATTTACAAGAGCACTAATCAACATCAAAATCAAAGTTTACCCACACTAATCAAAGAAATACAAATTAAGACGTTTTTCCATTTCAAATTGGCTACGTAAGGCAGTAAAATAGCTAATGCTTCTGTTCTTTAACTGCCCTTTTAGAAACGAAATCTGATTTATAGCACAAGACTAAAATACACAAATCTACTCTTTGTCCTATTCTACTTCTAAAAATCTAGTTAAATAACTTGTAAAATCATACAAATAGTTTTGCACAGAAATATTCATTGCAGTGATATTTCTAATAGTAAAAAATAATTTTACTGTCCAACGCTAAGATAATTACTGAATAAAACTATGCTACATTCCTATTATGCTCTACAACCATTTTTAAAGTACATAAAGGGTTTAATAACATGGTCAATGCATGTTATACTCCTGGTCAAAAAGGATAAGGCAAGTTATATGTCTTTACGATACTAAAATACATAGGAAAAACGACTGAATGGAAATATCTCAAAATGATATCATAGTTGCCTTTGGGTAATTCGGTTATAAACATTTTCTCTTCTATAGCTTTTTTATGGTTGTATTATAATTTATTTCACTAGTCCTCAACAGATGGTTGTTCTAAACATTTTGCTTTCAATTTTTATTTTTCAATTGGAGTTGACACTCAACATTGTTTTATATTAGTTTCGGGTGTATAACATAGCAATTAGACATTTATATAGTTTTAGAGGGATTCCCTGCCCCTCCCCTCCCCCGTACAGTCTCGTCCACACCTGGCACCACAATCATTACAATGTTAGTGACTGTGTTCCCTGTGCTGTACTCCAAATCCCCGTGACTGTTTTGTAACTGCTGATTTGTACTTTTTAAGACTCTCTCCTTTTTTCCCAGTCTCCTAATCACCTGCCCCTCTGACAATCACCAGCTTATTCTCTGTATCTATGAGTCTGTTTCCATTTTGTTAGTTTATTTTGTCCTTTAGTTTCCACATTAAGTGAAATCAGACTATTTGTTTTGCTCTGACTTATTTCACTTAGCTAATACCCTCTAGGTCCATCCACGTTGCTGCAAATGGTAACATTTCTTTCTTTTTTTTTTTTAATAGCTGAGTAATATTCCATTGTATATATCAGGATTCCCCAACCCCCAGGCTGCGAACCATACCTTCTGTGGCCTGTTAGGAACAGGACCACACAGCAGGAGGTGAGCGGCTGGCAAGTGAGCAAAGCTTCATCTGTATCTGCAGCCGCTCCCCAGAGCCAGCATCACTGCCTCAGCTCTGCCTCAGATCATCAGGCATCAGATTCTCATAGTAGCACCAGACCCTGATGCCACAAAGGTTGGGGACTGCTGGTACATGTACCCCAACTTCTTTATCCAATCATCTATTGATTGGCACTTAGCATGCTGTTTCCATACTTTTTAAACTTCCAAATTTTCTGCAAAAAGTACTCCTTTTAAATTCAGAGTATTTGTTTAAACAGCTTGTTCTAATTTATATTTTTAAAGCATCTGTGCTTTGCTTCGTTAGGCATTCAGAATTTATAACATGATAGAATAAAAATGGTTTTTCAATATAAGTTTAAAAAGCGTATCACACCAACTGAATACACACAACCATTAACTGGAGTGAGGCAGATGTGTGTGTTAGAACAATCTTCAAAATATTACAAGGTGCAGAACGTTATAGAAAAATCACGTTTACATTTGTGTACAAAGGAGATTATGTTCTCAATGAACACTCACACATATGTTCTCAATGAACAAATGTTTCTAGAACATGCAAATAAATTAGGAATGCTGGTGTTTCTGGAGAAAGGGACTGGGAGACCAGGTCTAGGGAAGGAAAGAAACTTCCTGGTCGTATTTAGCAAAGTAATGCACGAGTTAGTAAAAGAATTAGGTGAAAACAGTCATTAAAGTGTGCATATACCATGTTCCCTTCACAGTAACCCAAACCATAAATTGAGTACTCTCTGGCTGTAAAAGAAACTTAAATGTTATCTCATTTTGTAAGTAATTAATTTTAAAGCCTTGGAAATAAAACAAGCTTAAATTTGAAAAATCTGAAATCACAATTTATCTCAATCTCTTATAATAGTGACTATTTACATTATTTAGACCCCCCCAAAATAAACCAAATTTTAACAAATTATCTACTAAGACTTCTACTGAGCAACCAGAAAGGTTAGGATTTTAAGCATTCTGACAACATACCGATAAAGTAAACGTTCAATTTTTAACATTCTGACACATATTTTCTAATGCTCCAACTTACCGAGGGGCTGGTCTTGACTGTTTAGCTGGGGTTCATTTCCCACATGTGAATCAGGTTTGGGTTTGGGCTTGGGTCTCAGAGACGGGAAGAACCTCATCATCAGGTCCGATGCAGGGGGACTGACGCTCCTGCGGGACTGGCTCATGCCCTCCCGCCTGACCGGTGTGGCCTTCCTTCTCACCGTCCTGTCCAGGAGACACGCGTCACTCTTACGAGGGCAGGCTGTCTGGACAGTCCCATCAATGGCTTCGCTCCCACAGATATCATGTTTAAATGAATTCTCTTCAAGGTCGGTCCAAGTTCTTTCATCATCGAAGTCGATTCTGCTTGTACTTGTAGACGAGGGTCTTCTTGAGGACTCAGAACCTTTATTTTCCAAGCTTTCTGATCCAATGGACTCCTCACTGCTATAATCTTTATCGGACAAATCTAAGTCAGCATCTCTCCTTTTATCCTCTTCCTGAGTCCCAGCATCCCTGGGAGGTCCCTTGCCATCACAGACTTGTGGGCTATCCTCTCTGCCGCTGGTGGTCCTTTCATTTCCCTCAGCTGACAGTTTTATGGTAATGTCCAGCTGCTCCTCAGAGCCAGTGTCACTGCTCGTAACACCGTCCTCATCACTGGCCTCCCACCTCGTCTGGTTTTCTGGGGTGCTCACCTGCAACATTTTCCTCCTGACTTTACAGGACTGCTCCCCCCGTCCATCCGGTGAGGACGCTGAAGCTAGCTGCCTGGCTGCGCCCTCACACTCGCCCTCACGTCCACGTTGCTCAGCATGGCCTGGCCCCGCCTCCTGGTCACAATGACTACTGGGACCCCGTGTTGTCTTTTGCTGCCGCACAGTTTTGACAGGGGTAGAAGACAGCCGGCGACTTTGGCAAGTCTGCTGGTCCCTCTGTAAGATCTTTAGTACAAATGAAGAATTACTGGAAAATGATATTTCATCAGCAGCTTGTTCTAAAAACAGAAATTCATCCAATTCCAAATTTTCCTTTTCCTTCTCTCGCTCCCAGCTCTCTAACTTCCTCTGAAGAGAAGCATCGAGAGAAGACCCTGACTCTTTTGCAGTCTTGCTCACCGGGCCCTCAGAGGCCGCGTGGCTGACCAGCTCCGGTGAGACAGTAAGTCCCTCCTTACCCCGGCTCTTATTCCAGACTCTGCAACTGATGTCGCAAGGTTTTGCACACTCGGGTACACTACACTTAGATTCTGCTTTTCCTAATTTGATATGGTCTCTAAACTGCCCATTGCGTTTCTTCCCTGCCAGGATCTTCCATCCTGACGGGCAGAGACCTTTCCTGTCACTACTCTGAAGCTCTTTTGGCTTCTGACTCACTGTGGCAGAACCACTCTTGGTTCTAGCGTTATTGTTCTTCTTGGCAGGAGGGTTCTCTGCACACGGTTCTTTATTTAGAAGCGCAGTTTTCCGCTGGAATGGTTGTCTGTCTGTTTTAAACACTGGTGGATCCTCTGAAATGCTCTGAGTAGTCACTAGTTTATTTTCTCTCCCTTTCTGAAACTTAGATTTAGCATTACTAAATCTAGCCAAACCTTCTCCTCGTTTTAAAAATGGTTGTTTTGGTTTCACTTTGGTTAGTGATGACCCTTCTGCTACCTAAAATAAAGAACATATCTGAATTAATTCTGGTATATCCGCATAGTATCAGTTATTTTTAAAGCAAGTTATTAATCTCAAAAAGCTTTGGGTAAGTTAAGCAAAATCATGGAAATGCTAAACTAACCCTTAGCTGTCTCTGTTTCAGTTCTTGTTCTTCCAGCCGAATTTGTTCTTCCACGTAATCTTCAAACGTCTGCTTCCTGTCTCTGACAGCAGCTTTAATGGGCCTATAACCACAAAAATAAAGTTACTTCACATGCAAGTCACAATGTGGACACTTGGCATTTAGTGTGCCTGACCACACTGGAAACCAGCCACGTCCAAAGCCACAGACCCAAGAATTTAACAAAAGCTACAGTCCTGCTCCGTCTCCCAAAGCGCAAGAATATACAGCACTCTACACATTCTGGAAAACACCGTCCTGAGGTCCATCTGTTGACCTTAGGTTAACTTCTAAAGTAACATGTTCTTTATATAACTTTAAAATCTGTTTCAAAAATAGTTCATTACACATTCTTTAATGAAGAAAAAGACCCTTACTGTAAGCAGAGCAATGATCAAAAGCCATTTGCCCATCCTTAACATTTATTAAAATATTTCAAATACTTAAGAAAATAATAAACTATTTCAAGTTGGTATTTAATCTGTCATAAAAAATTTTAATTTTGTAACCAGATTTACATGACTATAATTTATAAGTAACACCAAATGTGAGACTCCAATATTTAATTTGTTTTTCTCTTCCCCAAAATAAGATTTACCAATTTGAGAGAATAATCTTATCCAGTTATTTTTCTTAGGTAAGAAAACTCTGCTCAGTTCGTCCAATACAATGTCAGAGGACTTAAACTGATATATCTCCCCAACCTCTTCCTGCTGTTGACAGAATGTGACAGGCTATATCTTCACCTCATACATAAAAGCATGTTCAAGCAAAAACAGGAAAATTGTGAATCATTCAAACAAAGAAGTGCTCAATAATAATGGCTGGCTATGACATTAAATTACCACATTTCTTATTCCCTTTAACATAGATGATACCTTTCTTCAATATTAACCACTTCTGAGGAATCACCGGTTTTTTTAAAGTTTACATCGTTCCCTTCCTCAATCTGTTCCGTCATTTTCTCCCAACATGGTAAAATACCTCCACCTATGATAAAAATTAGAATAATTTTACAAGTTACTATGCTAAAAAAAAATTGGTTAAAAGTACAGTATACCAAAGATTTCAGAACTCTCAAGAATTTCTTTAAGATGATAAAGAAAACTACAAAACCCTAATTAAAACACAACATTTTTCAAAAGGTTAATGTTATTGGTCGGGGGGAACTGTGGGCTTTTCTAAATTAAAAAACAATAGTTAAAACAAATTCCTGAATGTAATACATGAACTTGATTGAATCCTGTTTTCTTTAAAAAGAAAACTTTAAAAGACATTTTGGTATAATAAAAGGAACTCTAAAATAAACTTAAATATTACAAAACTATGGTTAATGTCCCTAGGTATAACAGTATTGTGGTTATACAGAAAAATGTCCTCTTTTTTACTCGATGCATGCTAGAATATTTGAAATGATATAACATCTGCACATTACCTGCAAACTATATATAGATGTAGACAGAGATACAGATAAAGGTGTCTGTGTGTTTGTATACATACATATATATACATGCACAAACATACAAAGTAAACACGGCAAAAAATTAACTGTTCAATCTAAGTGGTGGGCACACCGCTAATCACTGCAGGGTCTTTCAACTTTTCTAGATGTTTTAAATTTTCTAAAATAAAAGGTCAGGGAATGTACTGTTTAAAAAACCAGAAAGACTTTTGACCTTCCACACCAAGGATTTACTCTAACTTGGGAATGAGGTATCATGCACAAAGGTGGCCAATCCTAAGCAGTAAGCACAGACACCTTTCATCATAGTAGCTATAATTTTCACTGTTAGCTCAAAAGAACATATTCATGAGAACACCATTAAAATTAAAAATTAAATTAAAGATTAAAATACTGGAAAGCACTTAGCACTACTGCAAAGAATGTTAAACACTGACATTACTACCTGACTAGCATAATGATGGCGAGCATTAAAATCATGGTTATAAAGACACGGGACGTACCACGAGCATTTTCCATGCTGAATGGGAAAGAATACAGCTTATTATACAATAGTCTATGATTATAAAATTTGGAAATAGGGGCAGCGCAGAAAAACAAAGAACACGCAGGAAAAAAACATACCAGGAATGGCGTGGGAGCCCCGTGAGTTAGACCAGCAAACCCTGAGTGCCAGTTCAGTGGCAGGAACGTGCTGGGTGCTGGGAACACAGGGGTACGGTGCAGACGAACCACGTCTCTGGGTTTGGAGCATTTTTTATAACTGCCATCACCAATCCATTTCTCACACTTTACACTTTCCATCATGCACCCCACCATACCACACATGTTTTACATCAACCTCCAACTAGTTCTCAAGAAAAATGGTGCCCACAGAACTGACGCCAGCATGGACTGCGGCAGTCCTTGGAAAGCCACATGCTGTGTCCAGGTCCTGGTCTATCCAGGTTCGGTGGCTGTGCAGCGTGTAGGGCCTCACGCTTCTAGGCAAGGGGACAGGGGAAAAGCGCAGAAGGGACTATTCCCATCTCAGGACAACTTGGCAACACTCTTGGTTAAGCACAGAAGAGAGAAGTATAAGTAACTCACCTACTACAACAGGATGGATACGTTTTTCTTCCTCCAAATCCCTCTTTCCCACAGGTGCTTCTTGATACTGTGCTTCAGAGAACAAACTGGGAGAAGCACCCCTTTTTGAAGTTGAGACAAAACTTTGATGAGCAGTTCTACCGAAGCTGTTGTGTTCACTGGATGTTTGCTCTGGGGTTTGACTCTGGCAGACATGGGTAGGTAAGGCGGGTGCAGGCATCTCCACAGAGGCTGAATTTCCTGGGGACCTGGGCTTCTGGCTCAGACCATCAGGCGGTGGAGTGGAACCTTGTTGAAGAAAACCGACAAAGCTGATTTGGAGACATCTCCCTGCAACGCGTTCTCTTCTGCTTGTTAGTGAGCCTACCACAAAGTCTCCTCCAAAATGCTAAAAGCATTTTTTCCTCTTTATATTAGGAAACTGTGTTTAACAAAATCATGAAATTTTAAAAGTCCAAAGCAACCCCTGCAGAATTTCTATTAAGAACATGTTTATACCACAACTCAGGTGCGGACAGTGGGCACGAGGCCACTCGAGCGCCACCCATGGCAGCACTACCGCGTGGTCCACTCCGCAGCCCAGGATACACAGTTGGACAGGCAGCACCAACGCACACAGCTCAACAATCTGAACTGTCTCCTAACGGTCGTGCTCTGGGTCACGGCAGATAAAGTATCTTCCCCTTGGATAACGCTGACATTTTGGTATCTTCAGGTGGTAGAATTATGGGTGACTTTTGTCTTGTATCTGTCTGTAGTTTCTAAATTTCCTGTATTACTTTTTGCCTGTTTTTTTTCTTGAGTCTCAGCTTTTGAAATAACTGAATAACCAGAGAGAGTCCCTTTCTATGTACCTCTAAGATATAATTCTTAGAGGGGGTAACACCAGCCATCTGCCTCCTGCGACAGTCCCTCAAAACTCTGCTACTACCCCTCAGTTCTCCTTGATTGCCTCAACTAAACTTAGACGTGAAGACACTGTGGGAAGTGTTTCGTAAACAGCCATGGTACCCACCTCTTACACCCACCTACCTCACTCCTAATCAACAAATAAAACTGAATTCATGTAGATCCTCATTGAATATCAGGTTCGACCTTCCTTAACTCTATAATACATTCCTTATCTAAATATTATTTTACCAAATCATGCAAGATGATTTATTCATGCCAAAATTCCAATATATTTTAATGTAATAGAGTATGAAAAATTCATTAGTATCATTTCAGATTCCATCCTGTGAATAACCACTAAGAAAGAACCATTTGTTGAGTTTGGGTACAGTATTAAAGAAATAACCACAATCATCTGAAAAGGCTATTGAAACACTCCTCCCTCCTTATTCCAATTACATATCCACGTGAGGCTGGATTTCTTTTTCATATACTTGAACTAAAACAACATAATTCAAGTGATAATGCAGAAATAGACATGAGACTCAGCTGAGTTTTCAAGCCAGAAGTTATTTTCAAAAATACAAAATGGTACCATTCTTATAATTTTTTAGAAGTTTTTTCATTATAAAAAATTACTTATGATAATATATAATTAGTTAATATTTTAAATGAATTAGTTCCTAAATTTCTCAATTTTAATTTCTAATACAAGAAATATCAATAGCTATAGCCTATATAAAAAAGCTCTTGGGGTCCTCAAAGCTTAAGAGTGCTAAGGGGTCTTGAGGCCAAAAAGCATGAGCACCACTTCCCTAAAGTGCCCATCCACACTGAACAGGGTGAGTTCTCATACTAGTAACTTAGAAATCTGCTTCCCTATTGCTCTAATGGTGATTTCTACCTTAAAAAGTATCACGGGCTGTTATTTAGGTGATCTTGATGATTCTTCTTATGGATTCCATAAAGCAGGGGTCCCCAACCCCCGGGCTGGTACTGGTCCGTGGCCTGTTAGGAACCTGTTCGCACAGCAGGAGGGGAGCAGTGGAGAGCAAGCGAAGCCTCATCAGTATTTGCAGCCGATCCCTGGTGCCACAAAGGAATCTCGAACCATTCAACTAATTCAAGAAACACACTATGTTCTTTATACTCCAACGGTCCCCAACCTTTTTGGCACCGGGGACTGGTGCTCCTATGAGAATCTGATGCCTGATGATCTGCGGTGGAGCTGAGGCAGTGATGCTGGCACTGGGGAGCAGCTGCAAACACAGATGAAGCTTTGCTACTGCTCACCTCCTGCTGTGTGGCCCAGGTCCTAACAGCCCATGACTGGTACAGGTCCAAGGCCCGGGGGCTGGGGACCCCTGCTAAACTCTACGATAAACATCCCAACTCCCTAAACCATTCTTCATTTGCTACACCTCCCATTCCCACCACCACCACCACTCCGAGTCCCATCCAGCCACACTTAACACATGCATCTGTCAACATCTTTTCTTTGTAGTCTCAAAGTTCCGTGCAATCTCTCAACAAGACAGGTGCTTTCCTGAATCAGCAAAGTGTGTCTCTTCAAAGGTAGCATCAAGCAGCACACATGCTGCCCCAGATCAGTTTTTAAAACTGTGGAACACAATCCACTAGTAATTCTATCATCAGAGGGAACAAGTCACAACTGCATTTTTTTTTTTTTTTGACAAAAATAAACAAAATAGAAAATATCCTTGCTACATGCCAGGCACACCAATAAGGACGGGTTTATGAAATTTCTTTGAAATTATGACTCATGATTTAAAATGTTTTCATTTCTAAGCAGCATGGTCAAAAAATCTCAGAACTACTCACTGCTCCAGATCCCATTTCAACAGGTTTTCCTCCCGATAAGCACATACATGCTATTAACTGATCTAGCATATGACAAAAGAATTCTGTCATACTGCGACAGACAATATTTCTGGTATGGTTCTTCGGCTGAGAAGGGTGGCTTCTATACATATTTACTTCTCTGCTCCAGGCAAGTTTTTCATTCATCAGGCAGGGGTCGTAAACCAGGAGGAGCCTTAGGCCAACCGAGCTCTAGAGCTTTTATTCTACTAGATCTTTCTAAGTTCTATTTTATATAAATGTGAATGCCTTTAAGCAGGATGTGAATGCTCCAGAATAGCACAATAGCACAGCTTCCACATGTCTCAATTATATGATACCACCATTGCACAGTTACCTGCCTGGCCACGAAAGAAATTGAAGTTTGCAACATATGATACAAAAACAGAAAGAACATGCCCAACAACTCAAGGTGAGAAGGTAAGCACTGCCTACCTGAAGGCCCCGGGCAGGCAGAAGCACCCGGGGGAGTGTGCGGCCCAGATGCCAAAATCAGCAGCTTCTCCTGTTCTTCCATGAGTCTTTGCAGCTGCTCCAGCTGCTGCCTCTTCAGTTGTTCCTGCTTCTTCTGTTGCACTTCTTTCAGCTTTTTAAATGTAAAGTTACCTTTATTAAACTCACGTTACATTTCATTATGGACCTTTGCTCCTGACACTTTTCTTACTCCCTCCCACCTACCTCCCCATATCTTCCCTAATAAAGAGTTTCAAAGAGGGATCTCTAAGTAACTAAATCTGCCACCAAAACTCTAAACTCCAAGTTTTTATATTAACTATCTCGACTAAGAGTCATATAAATCCTTTGGTTCTTAAAATAGGATAGGTACCCGTACATGTATGACCAACTTTTCCCCCTAATATCTGATCAACCATTTCTAATTTTGTTTTTACCAAATGAGGTAGAAATTTAAAGATGTTACCTTAAGAGTTATATTATCTTACGCATTAAGCATGTTTAAATGTTTCATTATTAGACAAAAAGCAAAATTTGGTATTTTGAGCATTTCACAATAAAGGGGAAGAAACAAGAGGACCTAAAACTGGTGACTTTTCATCATAAACAAAAACCTGCAATAACACAAATATGTATCAGGCCAAACCCTACTGTACCTGTTCAAACTTTTTAAAAAGCGGGTCTTTATAAGCCACATCTTTGAATTCACCAGCAAGATCTGAGATAAAGTCACTTTTGTTAACTTCCCAGGGTGCAGGAGCATCCTGACACGACACTGGTTGTGGTCCCTCTTTAGGTAAAGGAAAGACTGCATGCGTTTCAGATGTATCTGACTGTAGTTTGTAAGGGCTGTTAGACTCCGACTTCTGTTCTTCATGAAGTGAATCTTCTTCATTTACAAAACTGAAGCTATTTGAAAAATGTGTGGCTTTAACAGGAAAGCCAGTGGAAGTGTTCACACTTGCTCGCTTCTCTTCGTCTGCTTCCAAAATAGGAAATCCACGATTTAATATGACTCCAGCCCGAGAAGGATTGGTCATCCACTGGGTTAAGAAGTTCTGCCCACTGTCTAACTCTGAAGAGGTTGGCATCAGGAACATTTTAGGCCAGTGACAGACACTATTGTATATAAATAACGCAAAAGCTAAGAGCTATTAATCTCCAACACCTGTAGAAAGAAGCAGCCAACACAAAGTATTAGTTAAAGCTGTTCTACCCAAGCTTAGATCTAGCACAAAAATCTACTAAATATTTCATATGCAAAAGATTTTAACTAGCAGTTAGGCATTAAGCTGCATGTTTTTTAAGTCCTAAATATCCGAATTGGGTGGATCAAAAACCTAAGTCACCTTCTGATCTAATCATTAATTGCTAATGATTTTATACAAGTGCTAGATGAGTTGACCTAAAACTATGGGAGCTAAAGCACCTTCAAAGTTATTTGATTACCAAATGAAAAAAACCACCATCAATACCAGACATTTCCCACATTAAGCACCTTATGTTTCTGGCCCTAGTCTAACATTGCTTCTTTGCCCAGCTATATTTCCAGGACAAAAGTCACCACCAGCCCATGGCTTTACCTGTTTCTCACTGTCCCTTTCTCCCTCGCTCTCTTCTAACCCCTCGCCCACCAGGCAGTCCCTCATCTGGGCTCCCAGAGGTCTCTGGCAGCGCTATTTTGGCACTCATCCCATCGTTAGTGGCATTTTGCTTTTGTGTCCATAATCTACCCAGCTGTGAGTTCCTTGAAGATATCTGTATATCCACCACCCATCCATCCCCGGCAGGAAGGAGAAACTTGATCATTGTTTTCTGAAGTTAAAGTTAAATCACAACTAAGGTTATACTATTGAAGACAAATCCAATATCATATTGTTTTCATTCAATGTTCAACAATAAAAATTACATTGGTTCATACCATAGGATAGCTATGCTGTATGAATCCCACTCTGAAATAACCAATTTCCTAGTGTAACTGTCACTGTGTAACAAATTTAAATGGGACTTCACAAAGTCTGATGTTACACAACAAACATTTACTGATTTCTTACGTTGTACCAGATACTGTTTTCGGCACTGGGTATATGCCAATTAAGTCAGTCTAGTGGGGAAAATGCGCACACATGACAGTAAATTACACAACATGTTAAACAGTAAGTGCTAGGGAGAAAAATAAAAGCCACGAGGGGGAAGGAGACTTTAAATTTAGATGGGGTGAAGAGTCTTCACTTAGAGGATAAAATTAAGGGTCTGGTGGAGGATAAGGAGCAAGTGGTGCAGCTGTGAAGGGCAGAGTAAGACCCAGCCGCTCAGTCTGCAGGCTGCCCTCGCCGATGCCCCAGTCCTCTGGAAATCCACTACCCATCATGAATTCTCCAGGACTGACTCAAGCCTGTTTACATCAGTCACCATGAGAAGGCCCTGGCTCCCAAGCCATGCTTTATCTCTTACACTCTAATCTCTATGCACACGCCTTATTCTGTCTCTCTCTCGCAAGCATCCTCAATGCCAAAACACTCACTGTCATCATTAGCAAAATCTCCTACTGTCCTTAACCTCTTCTCTCATCTTCCTGAGAACATTTCTTCCTCTGTAGCCCATATCCTTGCACCGCTGGGCCTAGAAGTAGAGTATGCTTTCCTTCTTGTTCTTTTTTGCTTCTAGATTATTTTCTCTTCCTTTACCACAAAGAGCACCCCGTTTTGAACCTCATACGCTCAGACTAGATAATAGCCCTCTTTATTGTCTACGGAACCTCCAGGGGTCACTGGGATCTTCCCCCTAATAGAACTTAAAATTTTCTGGCTTAGCAACTAGAAGAACTGATTTGCCATTAACTGAAGTGTGGAAAATGGGACAAAACAGGTTTGGGGGTGCTAAGGGATTGAGCGTTGAATTTAGGACATTTTAAGATGCCTATCAGACATGCCAGTAGAGACAGCATGTGGTGAGCTGGGCACAAGAATGTAATTTACGCTGAGGCCAAGGCTGTGAAGCACAAATGTGGGTATCCCCACCGTACAGATGGTAAAGACACTGGATGAGATCACTAAGGGGCTGAGGGAGACAAAAGAGATGTAAAAAGTGTAGTGTCCTTGAAACCAAGTGAAGAAAGTGTTTCAGGGAATAAAGGGCTGTGCTAACGCTGTTAATAGATTACAAGTGAGGAATCTGAGAACTGACTTTAGAATTTAGCAAAGCAAAGGTCATAACTTCCATGAGAGAAGCTTGAGGAGGGGGCAAAAGTTTGAATGGAGGGGATACATGAGAGAACAAGAAATTGGAGACAGTGAGTATACTAAGTCACTAAGTCTTTCCAGGAGTTTTGTCATAAAAGGAAATCAGCAGAATAGTGGCTGCACAGAGAAGCAGGATAGATTTTTTTTTTAAGACAGAAAAAATAAAAGCTGATGATGGAAAGAGGGGAGAACTACTACAGCCATGTCTTTGAGAGATGAGAGATCTAGTACCAAAGTGACATGGCATCTCACTATTTTTCAGTCGTGAATCTTGACTTTATCAATACAACAAAATATATATAAACAAAGGGGAAATAAAAAATGGCAATTTGAAGGCACACAAACATGTACTTAGCTTCATAATCTAGTGTCTAAGAAATGTAAGTATACAAAAGACATACAAGAAAAAACAGATGCCCAAACATTAAACTAGGCTCATCCTGACTCAAATGAATAGAAATTAAAGAAGTAACAACATATCATTTTTTTTTTTTACACACTCAGTGGGCAAAGACTAAAAATTTGATAACACTCTGTGGAAAAAAGAAACTCTTTCATGAAGTTTTACTTGGGAACAAAACTACCTTTTTTGGAGGGGAATTTGACTACATCTATCTAAACTGTAAATGCACAGAAACTTTGACTCATCAATTTTGTGCTATACTGGCACACGTTTGCATTTGTAATAAACTGAAAGTAACTTAAATGTCCATTAACTTGGGACCAGCTAATTATGGTATTCATATTAGGCAGCTGTTAAAGAGAACAAGTTCATTAAGTGCTGATATGGAAATATTGAATACATCCAAGATATACTGTCAACTAACAAAGTGCAGAGCAGTGCATAAGAGACAGAGCAAGAAAGACAAAAGTTACAATTACATAGACCTGCGTTGTCCAATATGGCACTCAACTACTCACATATGCCTATAGAGCACTTGAAATGTGGCTAAGGTAACTGAAGAACTAAAGACAGATGATGTCATTTTATTAGGTCAAAAATCTGGATTTAATGGAATTTTAAACAAGCGATTTGTTTCCCTTGTTGCTTCATTGCACTGTACGGCACACACTGAAGATACTTCTCCATTTTCTGAAGCAGAATCCTAGAACAGTGTCATCTAGCAAAATGCCTGGAACCGATTAGTATGTGAACTCAGCTTTTCCAGATCTCAAAATTACCCCGAAACAGACAGCTTTGAAGGCTCCAAAGAGTGCTCCATAAACATTCTTTAAAGCAGTTGGGGGCGGGGGTAAATTCTCTGCACCCTGAGGGGGAAAAGTGGACACAAGCAGTCAACTCGAAGCCGTGAGACTGTGAGAAGTAACGAGTTGGTCTGGGAGGTGTTTATCTCCCCCAAAACGCACCTCCCGGAAAGCCACGACTCCAGCGCAGCTTTGAAGACAAGCACCTGGACACAGTGCAAGAGGCCGGCCCTTGCGGGGGACAGAAAGCAAGGCCGCTTTGCGCCCTCTTCTCGAGCAGCCAGCGTCCCGTTCGCCTTGACATCAGCTTACAGTACCGCCAAGACCACAGCGGTGACAAATGCAGGCTCCCCGCAAAACAGCATTAACCTGGAACAGGTGTTGCCACGGCCTGACGTCTCCCGGAGCCCACCACACTCGCCCGAGGCCTGGAGCCGGTCCTCGCCTCTCAGTTCCCGCTGCCCGGCTCCCTTCGCCCGCGAATTACCGCTCGCAGTCCGCTCAAACCGAAGCCGGAGTCGCCGCCGCATTTACGAAAGAGCCGCCACAACCACCGCCTCCGGCCGGAGCCCGCCCCTGACCCGAGGGCTCCTGGGAAATGTAGTGCCCACCGGTCCGCTCTGCGCCTGCGCGCGGGCAACGTCGGACCCACGCAACTACTCCCAGTGACGTCACAGCGACCGACGTTACCTAGGAGATTCCCGGCGGGGCGTCTTCCGCCGGAGCCTCGGCTGGAGGGAAAACTGTTCCTAGAGGGAACTTCCGGTACATACCGGAAACCCTTCCACCCTGACAACTGAGAGGGTGCCGACGCGAGGAGGAAATGGCGGGAACTCGGAGACAGCTAAATCTGAGGGACCGAAGTTTTTAGAGGCATTGGGGGAAAGGAGCTTTTTGCTTACGGTCCGTCTATTTTGGCGGTTTCTCTGTCTTTGTTCTCCGCTTTGGCTGAGTGTGGCTTAGTAAAGGGACAAAAAGAGCCGTCGGCCACGTTATTCCATAAGGCAAAGGTAACCAGGTGAGAACTCAGTCCCCAGATCGTCACCACTCACCTTTTCTCCTATGACTAATGCGTGGCGTGGCACTGTGTCCGTCATGTATTAAAAGGCTTCGTTTTGAACAATGAATGAAAAAGTCAAAAAGTTCGTAATCGCCACTGCGGAGCGCTGCGCAGGCGCAAACAGACGCGGCACTGTAAGGTCCGGGAGTGCGCATGCACGGGTTTCGTGCGGGTCGGGTAACAGACACGTGAAGTATTTAAAGAAGGCAATTGAATCGTGCTGTTACCGCAGCTGAAACAAACTACCACTAGATAAAGATAATTTAAAAACGCTTTCACAGATTTGCCCACCCCCAAATTGTTCTGCTATCTACTTCAAAAATTTAGCCCCTCTTCCCTAAAGTTCTAGTTTTGCTGCTTTTTTCTTTTAATTGTCGTTGTGGGTGAGGAAACCAAAACCCAAAACTTCCGGATAACACACCTTCAGGGGACCCAAGTCTTATTCATTTATGATAGTATTTGGCTTGACAGCATACCCTAAAGTCTCGTTTTTCTTAAAAACGTGTAATTTCTGAGATAGACACAATATCCTCTACTTTTTGTGCCTATAATCCTTTATGCCATCGTGGGAAGCAGGAGGGCATTGTAATGTAGTGGTTAAGAGCCCATGCTTTGGAGTCAAGCAGGCCTGGGATCAAATCCTACAACTTACAAAGAGCTTTATAGGCTTTGGCACTCAACCTCTTAGAAACTCGGATTCTCATCTGCAGAATGGGAATGATAATAATGCCTCACAGGATTGTCAAGAAGATTAAAAGAAAGTAGATAAAAAGCATGATACCTACCATATAAAATTTTGATGAACAGGAGATATTTTCGTTTTTTTAAACCACTTTATTGAGGTATGATTGACACCAAAAATTTCATATTTCATGTGTATAACTTGAGTTTGGAGAAGTATTCACCCAAGGAACCATCACCACACTCCACCACAAACATATCCATTATGATGCTTTCACCTTTATCATGACTTCAGCTGTTGATGAATTCACTTTGTCTGCCAAAGCCTAGCTATACACGTCATGCCAGTAATTTTACAAGATACAAAATAATACTATTATTTTCAAATTATTTAATGAAATTATTTTTAACACTTGATCTTGTATGAAGTTTGTTCTGAGAGTTGAGAATTTTTCATTGCTGGACTAGTGACATCAGTGATTTCTCTGTCAGGAGAGGGCAGAATTGCAAGCCTGGCTGAGGGATGATCCCTATGCCCATATCATCCAGGCTAGAAAGGGCGAGCAGGGTAGGGCAATAATGCTGAGCAAGGCTAGTCCTTGGCCTCCAGGCAAAGGTAAGAAAACCCATAGCCCACTTCTGTGGAGAAGAAAGGGAGTTCTTCACCAAGGCCACAAATCTCAGATACCTAGGATTTTAGCCTAGTACAGAAAATTTAAATAGCAGTGTTGGATACTAAAAGATATCTTTCTTTTTTAATCTTGTCTTTTAAATATAGATAGGACTATTGATGGTGCATTGGACCTGCAGCGAAAGATCATGGAAACCTGTGAGTCTAAACAATGAAGGGATTATCACATCTACTACATTCTAGAATGCCTGAGCAATAATGTTTAATGGAAAGAAGATTTCTACCTGTGATCACAATAGTTGTCACACCTATGTTTTTACTTTCTTCTTGAAAATAACAGTAATTGAGATTTTTACATCATTGTCTCATGGTTTTATAAGCATTCTATAGCTTTTTGCACATTTTTAATTATTTTTAATTTTTTTATTTTTCAATTACAGTTAACATACACGATATATTCGTTTCAGGTGGGCAACATGGTTATTAGACATTTATATAACTTATGAAGTGATCACCCTGATAAGTCTAGTACCCATCTGATGCAATACATGGTTATTACAATATTATTGACTATATTCCCTATGCTGTACTTTACATCTCCGTATTGCACATTTTTTAGCATTTTATTTTATTATTAGTTTCAAGTGTATAGTACATTGGTTAGACATTTTTATAGGTATTGCCAATACTACACATTTTTAAAGCAGCACATTTACTTTCCACAAATACGAAATTACCAGTGATTTGTGTATTACTTAACTGCAAGTGGCAGAGCTGGCCAAAAACCTTTCACATGTGTTCCACTAGCCATTCCTTAAAATACTAAGTGGTTCCTCTGTCAGGGACATTTTTGAATGTTTGGTAGAATTCACCAGTGAAACCATCTGGTCCTGGGCTTTTCTTTGTTGGTTGGTTTTTGATCACTAATTCAATCAATATCTTGTTATATCTATTCAGATTTTCTATTTGTTCCTGATTAAATGGTGGTAGTTTGTGTGTTTCTAGGAATTTCTCCATTTCATCTAGGTTCTCTAATTTGTTGACATACAGCTGTTTATAGATTCTCTTATAATCCTTTTTATTTCTATAAGATCGGCAATAATATCCCCACTTTCAATTCTGATTTTAATAAGTTGAGTCTTCCCACTTTTCTTAGTCTGGCTAAAATTTTGTCGATCTTTTCTTAAACTAACTAACAGAATCATTTCATTGATTCTGTTTTTCCGTTCTCTATTTCATGTGTCTCTGCTCTGATCATTATCATTTCCTTTCTGCTGGCTTTGGGTTTGGGTTGCTCTTCATTTTCTAGTTCTTTAAGGTGTAAAGTTGGGTTGTGATTTGGAGTCTTCCCTTTTTTAATATAGGCATTTAGAACTATAAATTTCCCCCTGAACACGTTCACTGCATCCCATAAGTTTTTGTTTTCATTCATTTCCAAATATTTTTAATTGCACTTGTGAATTGTTTTTTGACCAATAGTGTGTTTAAGTGTGTTTTGTTTAATTTCCACATATTTGGTAGTTTACCAGTTTTTCTCCTGTTACTGATTTCTAGCTTCATTCCATTGAGATCGGAATTGTATTATATGTATTATATGTACTTTTTAGGATTCAGTTATTTCCAATTTACCGAATATTGCTTTGTGACCTATGTACAGTCTATCCTGGAGTGTGTTCCCTGTGCATTTAAAAGAATCTGTATTCTTATTGTGTTCTGGAATGTTCTGTACATGTCTTTTAGGTCTCATTGGTTTATATGGTCCATTTCCTTATTAATCTTCTACAATTAGTTCTATCAAATATTGAAATTTGGGTTCTGAAGTCTCCAACTATTATTGTAGAACTGTCAGTTTCTCCCTTCAATTCTGTCAATTTTTGCTTCATATATTTTGGGGCTTTTGTTAGATATATATATATATATAATTGTTCTATCTTCTTGATGTATTGACTCATTAAAATATAATGTTCTTTGTCTCTTGTAAGAATTTTTTATTTAAAATTTATTTCATCTGTTATTAGTGTAACCTTCCCTGCTGTCTTTTGGCTACTATTTGCATAGAATAGTAGCCAAAAGACACTTTCAACCTATTTGTGTCTTTGGTCTAAAGTGAATTTCTTCTAGACAACATATAGATGGATCATGGGGTTTTTTTAAATAAAAGGAGGAGTTGCACGTCTCTCATTTTAAATCAAAAGCTAGAAATGATTAAGCCGAGGGAGAAAGACATGTCAAAGCTGAGATGGGCTGAGAGCTAGGCCTCTTGCGCCAGTTGGCCAGGTTGTGAGTGCAAAGGGAAAGTTCTTAAAGGAAAGTAAAAGTGCTTCTCCAGTGAGCATGAGTGATAATGTGAATCAGTCATTGCTGATGAGGAGAAAGTTTTAGTGGTGTGGATAGAAAATCAAAACAGCCTCAACATTGAAAGAAGTTCCACTGTGGGTAAAATACTATAAAACAGCGTCCCATGCTACAGAGAAATCATTTGAAAGGAAGAGTCAATCGAAGACTCAATCCATGAGGGAAACTTCTCTGTTGTCTTATTTTAAGATACTGCCACAGCCACCCCAAGTCGCAGCAACCACCACCTTGGTCAGTTAGCAGCCGTCAGTGTCAAGGCAAGACCCTCCACCAGCAGAGAGATTACACTCACCTAAGGCTCAGATGGTGGTAAGCACTTTTTAGCACTTTGAAAATTAGATTTACAAACATTTTTTAGCAAAAGCATTTTTTAATTAAGGTATGTACATTTTTTAGACATACTGCTATTGTACACTTAACAGATTAGTGTTATTACCAAACTCAAGGGCTTCCTCGCTCAGGATGTTCTGTTTGAGGGTGAGACATGGCTGGCCGTAGTTTTATTGCAGCAAGTAAGGGAGACGGGGAGTCCCATCTACAGCTATTCTCTTAGGGAGACTTAGCTGTGCCTCTGTACACTGGTTAATTACATGCTGATTCCTTCGCAGTTGGCTAAACTTATCTGGACTTAGTTAATTAAATGTTGATTTCCCCTTTGAACTTGGCTAAACTTATGTGGTTGGTTTCCAGCGAAGTTCATCCAGTTTCAGCTGCCTCTGCAAACTACTGTGCTACATTTTAACATTTAGTAAGGATAGCAATTAGGAAGAACTGTCCAAACCTTGAGACCCTTGTCCCATTTGACAAAACAGTGTAACATAACTTTTGTACGCACTAGGAATCCCAAACTCCTGTGACTGGCTCTGTTGCCATGCTTGCCTTACTGTGGTGGTCTGGAACTGAACCTGCAATATCTCCAAGGTGTGCCTGTAGTACAGTCTGGATCCCAAACCTTTTTTTAACTTTTCTATTCTCATTTAATTCGGTACCTGGAGAATTTTATTCTTTCCTATTACTTTACCTTCTATTCGGTGAATCTCCAGCCCCACCTCTCCGGAATGGCAGATCTCTACCTCTAACTACAGAAGAACTGGACCGCGAACTCCAAACCCAGGAAGTCCTAAACTCTTTATCTTGCCCTCCTGTTCCCCAGTCCCAAACGCTCCGGAAACTTGCTTCTTTCCAGCTACCGGGACTCCCCATTTCTCAGTTAAATGGCAGCATCACCACCCACTTTTCCCAAACTCCGACTCTGGCGTCACCCTCATTGCCCACATCCTGCCCGGAAGACGAAACCGAAAAACTCCTCCCCCCGGGGCTGGTGCTGAAAGGGACAGCCCGCAGAGGCCGTCGCAGAAATGCCCGCGCAGCGGCATTCCGGGCGGGGGGCGGGGCTCGGGGCCTCCCACTGGCTCCCGCCTGGCGTCCTCGCCGCAGCCGGAGAGCCGGAGGCGGAAGCGCCGGGAGCAGAGGGAGTCGGGAGGGGCCGGCTCCTCTGGCAGGTGCGTGGGCGCCGCGGGGTGGCGGCCGGTGGGCCCAGGAGGGTCCCCGCCGAGGGTTGGGGTCCTGGAGGAGGCGCGGGCTCGACGGGGCGCTGCGCTTTCGCTGGTCGCGCCGCGTCCTTAGTCGTCGTCCTGCGTCGGTCCCCGTGCGCCCGCGGGCAGAGGACGCGGTGGGGCCGCCCGGGGCGCGGCGCTCGGGCGGGTCTCCGGGAAGGAGCGGCTCACGGTGGGACTCTGAGTTTCTTGTTTCCCACGCGCCGAACGGCCTGTCTTCGGAAAGTTGAGTTTCAAAGCAAACTTGCAAAAAGTCCGGGAGTTGCGTGAATAATCATCATCTGACCTCAGGAGCAGTTGGGAAGGCTGTGATAGAAACGCTTAATGTGTTGAAGTTCAAAGTGGAAAACGCGGAAATTAGTTAAATAATTTCTGCGGGGGCTGAGTCGTTAAATCTGTTTCTAGAAAAATAGGGCGTTGCCCAGAGTTCAGCCTTTCTACTCTGGGCTGCAAGATGACGGTAAGCAGAAGAGCTGGAAAACGTAGCGTGATAGTTCACGCCGATGTGAGCGCGTTGCAGATCCTCTCGGCGCCCTGACTTGATCGTGAATTCAGTGAGCACTTATTAGGACCCGTCCGTGTGCTCAGAGCCACCTTAGTTGGCGCAGCAGCAGAGTGGGTGGCCTCTTTCTTCAGGGGTTCCGTAGTCCCATTAGGGAAGTGGGTGTTGATGTCATTTGAGCCCCAAATACACAAGTTGTGTCTGAAAGGCTCTTCTGTAATCCTAGGCTTTAATGGATGCGTGAGTTTTTAGTAAGCAGGCATTTACTGAATGCTTACTGTGTACCCTGGACTGTAGGGATAGAAAATAAACTAGGCACAGCCGTTGCATGGGATCTGCCCTCGGAGAGAAACTGTCAGTGTAAGGAGGAGGTAGTGACCGCAGCTGCGCCTGGGGTTGGTGCGGAGAAGGCAGGGTCTGTATGGGATGCTGGAGGGCTCCAGGGAGGCGCCCAGCTGCACCCACGGTGTCTGCGTAGAGTGGTAGGAATTCGGGTGGGAAAGGCCGAGGTTTCCCGGAGCGAGGCTGTGTCCCTAGGGCAGCCCGAAGGCTGTCAGGTAAGGAACAAACTCGGCGGGGGCGGGAGGGCGAGGGTAGGGGGCGGGGTGAATTGACTGGTGTTTGGAGGAAGCTTGGGAAGGAGGAAGAAAGAAGCTGACTGCCGGGCTTGTCTGAGGAAGCTGCTAAGTAGGGGGCCTGCAGACAGACAGACAGGCAGGGACTAGAAGTAAAGGCCAGACGGGAAATCCCCTGAGGCTCTCAGTGTTAGTTTCTCAGCTGCTCAAGATGGGCCAGGAGTTTATGTTCTACTGTTCGTACTCTGGTTTCACCACGGTGTGAATGGACTTGATGCCCCTGAGCTGTACACTTAAAAATGGTTAAAATGGTAAATTATATGTGCGGTACATCATACTGCAAAAAAGGGCTAAAAATTTATTTATACTGTTGGATCCAGTAGGTCCATTTCTGGCCATCTGTTTTCAGGAAACGGTGACAGAAACTTGACCAAAAATGTATGGAGATTTTCCTCAAAGTATATTTCTCATAATGAATAATTTTAAATAACCAAATATCTGATGACTTGGGGAAGAGTTAAATGACACAAAGATTATGTAGCCACTGCAAATGTTTTCAAAGAACATTTAGTGACATGGGAAAATTTTCATTAAAAGTTAGGATAAACTGGCTATAAAATCAAATATACAATATTAATAAGTAACAGTTTTATAAAAATAATTTATAAAGTGTAATGATACAGGCAAGAATAATATCAAAAATATGAGCAGTGGGGTAGAGAGATTATAGGTGCTTCTTTAAAAGCAACATTATCGAGGTATAATTTACATACCGTTAAATTCACCCATTTTAGTTATATGATTCAAAGATTTCTAATAAATTTACTAGGTTGTGCACCATCACCATGATCTGGTTTAACGCATTCCCACCACTGTGGCTGCTTTAAATTTTTCTTCAAAGTGATTAACTTGGGAAGGAGGAGTTATTTTTAGAAATACAAATACACAGTAATTTCCTTAATATTAGGAAATTTAAGCAAAACTGAAGAGTAATACAATTTAAAATTGAAAAGTCACATAACTTAAGAATAAAAATTACATAAACTCTTTGACTCAGTGCTATTAGGATTGTCGGACTGTTTCCTAGGGCAGTCACTGGAGTTGCCAACAAACATTTACATCTAAGGATGTACCCAGAAGCTTTATTTTTGATACCAAAATTTAGAAATAATTTAATTGCCCAACAATATAGAAATAATTTATCTATGGTACATATCTAAGATAGCCTGTATTAAAATATTTTCTAAGAATATTAATGATAAAATATTAAAGATAAAGTGCTGACATAAAAGGCAGGAATGTATTGTGAATATAGTATAATTTCAGTTTTGTTACTAATATAGTCTGTTACTGTACATGCACCTAGAGAAAGCCTGTAAGAAAAAGCAATGTTAACATGGCTCCTAGGTTTTGAGGTTATTTTGCTGTTGTACAGTTTTGTATATTCCAGATTTTCTAAGGTGAGCATGAATTACTTTTTTATTAGAAAACAGTTTTTCAAACGCCAGGTGGAAGGACTTAAGAACTTGCCCAGGACAGATGTGAACAGGTGGAGCTGAGCAGCCATGCCCACATCAGCCCGCCTGGTCCTGGTCCTGCTCCTGCTCCAGCAGTTACATTACATAGAGACTGTCCTGAAGTTGTTAGAGTCATAGAGTTGTAGTGTTTCATTTGTTGTTTGTTTTTTAACTGTCAGAGATTAAGAGCGAGATAGATTAACCTAAGTAGCGCATTCTGTTATCTTTCACAGAATCTATCATCATCTCTCCCATTTGTAAGTGATAATGAATCAATTAGACTGTAAAAGACAGTTAACACATTTGAAATTAGTGAATATTAATGCCATGAAAAGTCAGAGTTAAATCAAGAGACTTTAGTTTAACCAGATCTCACAAGAGAAAACATGCAAACCCCGAATATGTCCATTCATTGGACAGATGTTGCTAGGTCCTAAACAAGATATGCAAGTGTGGGGCGAGGATAGGGAAGGAAGGTGTCTCAGCAAGAAGGAACAGCATGTGTGAATGTCACCGGACAGGTGACCAGGTTCTTGTCAGTGTCACGAGAAAGAATTCATGGATAGGGAAGGTGACGAAGCAACAGCCTTTTATGGGAAGCAAAAGTACTCTCTTGAGAGCGAAAGTACACACTCAGACAGGAGAGCGGGCCCTACCCTGTGAGTTTGGAGGATTTATCTAGATCTGACTAAAGAGTGGAGTAGTCATAATCCTGGGTGGTCTCTTCGTGGAAAGAAGGTGGTTTCTCAGAATCAAGGAGACACCCCTTTTCTCGCCATGTTTGGGTTTTACGGAACTGTCATGCGTCAGATGCATGATGGATACAGCCTTAACCGCAATGCTAATTTATTAAAATAGCTGTATAATGAGGGAAGAATTAGGCCAAAGGTGAATGGGGCCTGATCTGCGCAAGTGTCTTTATGGGAAAGACCACCTGTGTCTCTGGGTCAGGGTGTTGTGGGCTCTGAGTTCCCCTAAGGGCCTCAGGGCTCATGGCGACCACACGTGGGCCCTGTAGGTTTCTCACCCTCCTGCTCGTATCCGTCTGTCTGCCTGCTCTAACACGAAGCCATCAAGGACCAAGCTTGGCCAGGGAAAGGGAGAGAGAGGTGCAGGATGAAGCTGGGGAGGGACAGAGGCCACGTCGGAGTACAGATGGCATTAGGGCCTCGAGGAATGGGCACCATTGCCCAGGTTAAGAGTGGGGACTTCAGCTGGCCTGGAGAACAGGACGTTCGGGCAGGGGGAGCAGGAGGAGCAGAGCCCTAATGGGACTGCGCTCAGTAGGCAGCCTTGGAGACTGGCCCCGCCCAGCTGTCCTCGAGCCTGCTAGGAACCTGCTCACTAACCTTAAACATCAGACCCGGATCCGCTTTTCACCAAACCCCAGCTGACTTTGGGCAACCTGTTTGATATGACTGGTTCTTAAAAACTGACACAGAGCTACTGTGAATTAAACCCAGTATCTCGCCATTTATTAGTTTAATGTAAAATACACATTTCTTTTGATTCAAAATATACATTTTTTTTTCTTAGAAGTAATTCTTTTTATGTGGGAATGTAAAAGAAATTAACTTCAAATGTGTGTATAAATCTTTCCATTTAAATATGTTACATATTTTTATTACAAATTGTTCAGTTTATCTCCAAAATGGCTTAACAGAAACCCACATCATAACTAATAAGCCTCTTTGAATTTACAGAAGACTCATATCTAAAAATCCATAGTTTCATTATTGCATAATGTTAATTTTAATTTAGAAATTAATGCTTCTGTATTCTTAAATCACTCGATCTGTAACTGTCAAATCTATTATATTTTCATTAAAATGTGTATTATGAGTCTCTACAAAAGGGTTTTTGGATATTATATCAGCCATGAAAGCTAGAAATTATTCTAAAACCAACATACATATTGCCAACTTAGATAATATTCAACTTTCGTGATTATAATATGATTATAATATCTTTAAAAAAATAATGCCCAACTTTCACACAGTTTTCCTATAAAATAGTTCTAAAGTCACCATCATTTATAGCCACTGAGAGGAGAACCCCTAGAGCTCTAACCTGAAATTTCTTTTCCTGCAGGATGACCATGGGAGTCTTTGCGAATTGTACCTTCTGCTTGAATATCAAGCACTTACCTCGCCAACAGAAGAAAAAGCTACAAACTGACATCCAGGAAAATGGTGGAAACGTCTCCTTTATATTAAATTCCCAGGTATTTGCAGATTTCCTATGAGCTGTATTGGCAGACATTGTTCGCGAAGGCAGCTCAGGTCATGGGGAGATGAATCGGCAGGGAAAACTGGCAGCAGGGCAGTCAGCGAAGGCAGGAGAAGCGGCACTGCCAGCAGGAAGCGGGGCTGGAGAGAGGCGGAGAGGTGAAGACCGCCCTGCCTCATCTTTTCCCGTTCGTGTGAGCTGTAGGACAGTCCCACCTGCCCTGTGAATCTGATATTAAGAGACCACAAAAGAGGATATAAATCGAAATAATTTCAGACCAGCCAAATCTGTGTCTGAAGGAGGAAAGTTAGAATGCACAGCATTTGCAAAAAAACACTCTGTACAGTCATTCACCAGCATGTCAGCACTGGAGTGACACCTATATCTGTGTGTGGCTCAAGGAAACAGAAAGAAAAATGTGCAATGTCAATTGATCTTTGTATTGTGTGTTTATTTAAAGGCGGAAAGGACCTACCTTCTCTCTCTCAAATTGTAGGCTGACAGTTTAGATATGAAATTTCATAGTGAGGTGAAATCTTGAAAATAATGAGGGCTACCCTCTTTTTTACCACCTTATCATAAGAAGTTAAAATCAAAGTTCGAAGGCATTAGGCCCTGGGCTCAGAGGCGCAGGCCTGCCCCACCCAGTGCTCTTCCCTGCACCACTCAGTCGACTGTCAGGCCCCTCAGCCTACCCTTCCTGGACCACAGCCTTGGGCTTGCCGACCGGGAGCCAGTTTGCTCTGAGAAGCATGTTCAACTCCAACTGGATGCTCGGTCCCTCTCTGGCATTTGGTGGTTTGCCCATGAATATCAGAAATGGAATGCCCTGTCTCCCTCCAATTTAGGCAGGATTGTGCTTACTTTCCTGTATGGCTTTTCTCACCTATCTGACCATTTCTGTGGATGATGAGCACACCTCTTACACTCTCTCAGTTTACTTTCTGTGTAGAGAATGCCAGCCTGGTATCTCATTTTTAGAAACTCACCTACTGGGAGTGTAGCCTTTTTATAAGTTGTTTTGTCAATATATAAACCTTTGAAACACACACAGCAGGTATTACAACAAAGGATATAGCACGATATGTAATGACAAGGAACGATCCCCAATGTAAACTGTTAAGTGGGAAAGCCAATCCAGAAGAACGTACTTAGTGTGCCGTCTGTGGCTACTCAGGGCTGTGTGCTTGCACGTGTGTTGTCACCCTAGAAGAGCCCGGGAGGGGCACCCAGGGACAGGCTACAACAGCTGCCTCTGGCATTGTCCTTTTACTTTCCAGATATTCTACAGTGCGCATATACTATTTACTGAAAAATAAGTTAAGTTTGTAAAATTTCAAATTAACAAAATGGTAATGAATACTGTTTGAACCTCCTGCTCCAAACTCCTAAGGAAAAACAAGTGTACAAAGAAGTGTGAAGATGTGAAGATGTTCAGCACAGCATTGTTTAGAGGAGGGAAAATTTGGAAACAACCTCTAGGATTGGTTAATTAATTATGGTACATCCGTACCCTTTAAAAACTTGATTTTATAAACTTTTATATAATGAGAAATTGTATTGATAAGAGTGTTCAAAATCTGAGAAAAATGATTGCAAATTACCTTCCAACAAGACTTTTCAAGGGTGAAAATTACAGATACAAATAACTTATTTAAATTTTATTTCTTCTCATGCATAATGAACTGATTCTTTTTTTCTTAGTGCACACATATAATCTCAGACAGTGCTGGTGATCTGAGCAAATATCATTTGAACTATATCCAGAAGAATCATATCCACATTGCAAACCCAGATTTTATATGGGAATCTATCAAGGAAAGGAGACTCTTGGATGTAAAAAATTACAGCCCTAACAAGTCACTGGACAGCACACTACCTCTTTATCAAGGGGCCAGCAGCTCTGGTAAGTATTTCCTGTCAGGCACCTAGTGTGTGGTAGGTGCTATAGTTTTGGTTTATCAAAGATGTTATAGACAAAAGACGATCTAGAAATATCACAGAAATAATTAGGCTTGTTATCTCAACAAATGGGCAGCAAAATAGCAGGAGACAGAAGAGTACTTGAGAATAGAAATTGACTTCTCAGTATCCAGACTAGTGGAGTCAGAGTCAGCATGCCGACAAGAACACTGGTATTGTCAGAAAAGTTGGCGTATAATTTCAACTGGGAGGGAGAAGAACCTTTGTGTTAAAAAGGTATCACAACTTAATGACTGGAAATTTTATGACCAGCATTTTGCTAAAGAAGTTCTTTCCAAAAGAACCACGTCTCCCCTGGACCCAGATTTTAATCTGGCCAAGAAGAAAGCCTTTGGATTTAACAGGTGCTCTCCCCAGGGGACACGTCAAAAGTCCAGCCATCCCATTAAGTATTAATTGTAGAAGCACACGGCATATGTTAGAGAGCATCTGGTATGAGATCAGCCGTGTTATTTATAAAAGTGTTAGACAGCCAAGTGTTTCGCTGTGGCAGAGCCTCTAGACAAATGCTTGTCCGGAAATGCTGTCATCGGACTTTCTTGCTATCTCAGAAAATGGTAGCTGAAAAAAAAAAGGCAGGATGATAAACTTTTATACTCATTTTGCAACATGCAGAATAAAACTGCGAGTCAGAATCACTATAAATACACTGATGACTTTTGAATTCTTGATAGCATAATTGAAACTGGAAAGAAATCCTTGCATTAAAAGAGTCATACCTGTATATCATGATGATGCTGTGGGGTTCCTCAGCCTCACCTAGGAACCCCGAATTTCCCTCCTCTAACGAGAACACATCTGTGGCCCAAGGGTACCGGGGAGCACATTGCAGCCCTGTGCTGCATGAGAAATATGTTTCAGAACTACCCTCGCCATGATCTTCAGAGGAAAATGCCACTTGAAATTGTCTGCCTAACAATGAGTTTTAAATAATACAGACTATATTAGAATTTTCTTCACATGCCTATTAAAATAGGATTATAACGGTACGTTTTTACTATCTTTTAATCTACCTCCTTTCCCACTGTATTGTCCATAGATTGCCAATAACTGTAGCTAATTTAAGGACACCTTAAGAAAATAGAACAGCATGGCAAATATGACCCGCATTCAAGAATCTTCACAATTTCAGCATTTATTGTGTACCAACTTTAATAATCTTTGCATAGTGAACAAGTGTTTTATTTGTTTTAATTTTAGAAGTGAAAACAGACGATGGATGCCTGGACAACTCCGCAGAGACAGGAGGCGTGGAGCTCACTAAGTAATCTTCTGATCCTTAGGGCTCGACAGTTTGTAAACTGTTAAAAACCTCAGTCACAGTATTAAAATGCTGTTAGTACATCAGCATTTTTTGTAGTATTTTAATTTCTCTTGCTTATCTCACTCTTTATTGAGTTTTTACTTATTTAGGATTTTCACTTCAACTAGTATAGCAATACTTATTTTATCTTCTCAGTATTATATGAGACTGGATGTAATTGTGACAGTGACTTGAGAAAAGGAAAAACCACTGCTGACGAAGTCTGAGCAGTCTGCCCACTCCGTTCCCTTACTGGAGAGCCTTAGAGCAAAGACTATAGTTACTCCATACCTGGTATTTTTAAAAATGGAAATAGTAACCTTCCAAAACGGAGTGTGGGTCTGCAGTACCACATGGCTTCTTCAAGGTACCCAGGACTGCAGTATTGATTAGGCGTCATATTTTGCTTTATTTTACTTGTTAATAGTAGTGCTAAAAGAGAACAAATACCAAAATTTAAAGTACAGATTATGAGACGCCTGACACCTTTATTTTAAAGGGGATTGTCTGTAGCTCAGAGAGGCGTGTGGCTGTGTGGAGTGACACGCATCTAAGGGTCCATCCCGGAGTGAACACAGGCTGCCTGTCTCTGCAAGGAGCTGTTTTCTCCAGCGCCTGGGCCTGTGTCTTTCAAGCTTCTGCTTCTACTTTATGCCCCCGCTTCCAGCATAGACACAGTGTGCAGCATCAGAGCTTTAGAATGATAGAATGACATAAAGGAGGAATCCAGCTCGTTCCACAAGACCGTTTAACCATCTTTAGCACATCAAAGGAGGCATTAGGAACTCACAGCGCATTTGGCATGGGATCAGGAGAGCGATAAGAAAAGTTTTATGAAAATTCTGTTAGTCTAAAAATTGATTTTAATGTTAAAATTTTAATTATACAAATTTCAGGTTTTATACAGAGAATGTTGAAATTCCTCATTTTCCTCAAGATTTTGAAGTTGCAAAATATAACGCCTTGGAAAAAGTAAGAGTCCGATTTCTATTTGGGAAAAAAGAACAAAACAGTGTCTTCTGATTATTTTTCTTGTTTCATTTTCTCGTTGTTTCGAAAAATTGCACATATCCTGAATAACATTCTTTAATATGTGAGTTGATTTTTAATAGTCAAGAAAATTTCTACATTCAAAATTTAGTGTTTACTTTTTCTAGTGTTTTTATTATAAAAGCAATACATGCTCATAATAAAAATATAAACTACAAAATATTAATATGGCATTAAAAATAAAAGTCCCCTCCTTAACAGCTTTTTGTATTTTAAGAGTAGATTTGACACCAAGTTATTTACAGCATGTTGAATTTCCATTATTTTTTATTAAAAAAAAATCAATTTCCTCCAACATCATAGAAATGCAGATTAACTCTGGCATTCAAAATGATACTCCATTTGTATTCTCTAAGTATTTTAATAAAATGTAATTTGAAAATAACATTCCCTCTGTGTTAAAGAAGATATGAAAAATGGTACAGTTTAAACACATACAGATATATCTATAGTAAGACTATAGGAGGGAATATACCAAAATAGTAATAGAGGTTATATAGCTGTAGTATGATTACAGGTGATTTTTATTTTTTCTTTATTCCTTGTGTATTTTCCACATTATATCTCCAAATGAGCATGTATTTTTTTATAATCAACCTTTTTAAAGAGCACGTGTGGTTTGCTCTGCAGTGAACGTAGCCGATGAACAACTGGGCTCTTTTCCAGGTGGGAACGGAGGGAGTCCAGGACATCGCAGTGCTGGAGCTGCAGTGCCCCCAGGACCCCGGGCACCCCACCTTCCGCATCTCCGCGTGCTTCCACCCCACAGGGGTCACCGAGGTAACCTCTCCATGTTGATTCCTGCGTGTTTATCGCCCTCCTTCACTAGCTCCCTTAACGTTGGCCCGTGAACCAGCCAATCTGTTCGCCTCTTTCTTTCTCTCTGGTAAATAGTTTTGAAAAGTGGAAATGTGTCCCATTTGGAATGTGGCAGCACAGGGACCTTCTCAGAGGAAGACTCACTGTGCAGGGTACCTGCTCCTGTTCTGAGTCAGTTAGGAAAACTTTCCTGATGTACCCACCTCTGAGAGCAATCCCGTCACGCACCTTGTTAAAGGTGCCAACCAGTCTGCTAGAGGCCAGGACCCAAAGATGAGAAGTACTCGTACTGCTTCTCAGAAATTGCCACCTGGGAGGAAACGACATACCCATGACTGTAACCCGCGGTGGCAGAAGCAAGGGTGAAACATGCGTGAAGTATTATGGGCTCGGACCAGCAGGGGCCATGACCTTGGTGCTAGATCAGTGTCAAGTCAAGGGCATGGTTCCAACTCAGAGCAATTTTGAAACAAAAATAAGTTCACAACCAATACCTGAAGTGCAAAGAAAATGCTGCCACACCTGTCAGGCTGTCTTGTCAGGACATTCAGCTTACGGGCAGGAAGCAGCTGGCCCCGGCGCTGCTCAGTGGGGTGGGTGGTCTTCACAGCAGGTCACTCCGACCCTGGACACAGTTCGCTTTGTCCCCACCTGAGGTGTCAGCTCTGGACAAGGCAGGCGCACGTTGGGGCACGGGACCCATCCGACATGGAACCTCCCATAGGAGTCAGACCTGTCGCGGGCCTGGGTCTCCGGTGCCCTGACTGGAGTCCCTGCTTTTGGGGACACCACGGCTCAGGTTTCCCACGCTCTACATGAGCTCCATTCCCTGAACTCCCAGGTGTCATGCAATTGGTTGGTGACAGGTTACTGTCACCCAGGCGGTTTCGCCTGCTCTTACAGCTGGTGTTCCACCCTCACGCTTCCATGGGAACAGATGAAAGTTCGGCCACGGTCATATGTGTCAATAGGAGAAAAGGTTTGGTGAATCTTTTACCCAAAAATGTAGGCTCTCTTTTTGTGGAGGATTTAGACATGTGGATAAAAAGTAAGTAAAAATCAGGTTGAAAACCATGATAGAATAAGTTATGATTGTTCTCTTCATTGAGGAAGAGGATGCTGACATGCATAGGCCACCTGCCAATTCCTGCTCTGTCTGGTGAGGAGCCGAGCCTGCACGCCTCCTCCCTGTGAGCCTCTGACAGCTCGGCAGGCAGGTGGTGGCGAGGCCTCCCCCTCCGCAGAAGCGACCCTCGGGTCACCAGCAGGGGAGGCTGTTCTGCAGGGAGGCTCTTCCAGCTGGCCTCCTTTGCTTAACCATTTAGACGGGCGTCTTCCAAAATCAGTTAGCCTCTGCCTTCCCAAATGCAGTAACTCGAACAGGAGTCCTCCTTTCGCCAAGTTTAGAGGTGTCCTGTAGCCGCCAGTCTGGGGTGGTTTATCTGTCATCATAGCTGCTTCTCCTGGGGCTGTGCACCCAGAGCCAGGGCTTGGTGACACCTCCTGAGGGGACAAGGCTCCATGTTCTCCAAGGCTAATGTTGGGGTGACTGTGCCCCACGGGCTGGGGCAGGGATTCCCTGGAAGAACAGAAATGCCCACGGCAGGCTGACAAGGTAGGCCTGGTGCCTGTGGAGGCCTTGTGCCGCCATCAGCGCTGTTGGCGTGACCTGAGAGCTTGCCTGCCCTCCTCGCCGGCCGCTGTCACTTCATCCTTACTGTGCGCCCGTCTCTAACGACACCGCATTCCCGAGGTGTTTTTCTTGTCCAACCCTCCCTCCCAGTTTATTCTTCTCAGTTCCAAAAGGCTGAAAGTCACACTCCAAAGCTGATTAGAACCGGCTGTGAGGTAGGACCGCGCAGCCTCTGAGTGCGTGCTGAGTGCCTCCAGCAGAGCAGATGCTGTCTCTGCCCGCCGTGTGTGCTCAGGCCCTTCCCTCCTTTTGGGTTCTAGGCTGCTTTGTGAAGAATTGAAGACTTGAGTAAATCTTTGGAAAAACTAGTTTCTCAGCTTCTTCATGGTAGGGACCAAATGCTTTACTTGTGTTTCTGTCCCTGGTACATAATAGGTGCTCAACAAAGACTGACATTATGTGGCTGTGCCCTCACATCCTAACACACTGCTGTGTACTCTAATTCACAGACCAGAAGGCAGTTCTTAGTGAGGCCAACCTCTGCAGATGCAAGTGAGTGCTATGAAAATTACATCGAAGAGCTGAAGAAGCAGGGATTTCAGCTAAGAGAACATTTTACCCCCGAAGCCACCCAGTTAGCATCTGGAAAGTTGCAAGCAGTAAGATCGATTTATCCATGTCGTTTTGCGTTATTGATTGAATATTTTAATAGAACGCAGGAGGA